TACTAGCTCACGCTAATAAAAGGGTTATCTTCACTACAAAGTTCTGCTCATTTTCAAGAGATCTCCTTTATTTTTTTACTTTTTATTTTTATAAAATTGCTTATCGTAATATCACTATGTCATCACCAAATGTTTTATCAAAGGCCTTCAAAAGGAATCTTCACAAAAAGGATCTATGTGTTACAAAAAAAACAAAAATTGAAAGGTCCGATAGCTCAATCATCAATGAGAAGGTCAATTCCAATATTATAGTTAATCAAGCCGATAAAAGAGAGAATATTTTCTACAATCCGCTAAAAGTAAGTTTATTATATTTGGTTTTATAATATAGTCTTCTTAGGAGTACTTTTCGTCTTTCAAGACGGGCCTAGGATCTGGTATTCCCTCCCCATTATTATTATTATGCTCTACTATTATTGAGGGCGCAATTGTCAAATCATGATTATCTTGTTGCGAGGAGAGGAAGACCGAACGAGCTTCCTGTTTAACGCTGAGCTACAAGATGAGAAGTGATTTAAATGTATCCACCTCAAAATATTTTTAACTTAATAAAATATATCATCTCATAAGGCATTTTCTGAATATATATTCTTTAGCATAAAACCCAATCAGAAACTTGCCAGTCGACCAAAGATAAGGCTTGTGAATATATCCGTACCTGATAGATATCTGAAGACTTTTTTTCTAGCGATCTTAAATCAGCTAAAACTTCACAACCTTATACTTTGATAAATCCAAAATTTACTTTCGTTAAAAAGTTTTTAGAAAGAAGGCAACAAAGACTATTTACCTCTTCTTTGCCACCTCAAATAATTCAACCAATACCTATCAACAACTCTGAAATACCGATATATTATATGACTCTGCTAGAGTCCGAGATTTTTAATGAAGGCTCTTCAAATTCGACACCTGAACAGTGGAAAGAGTTTGGGTTGTGGGCTAATTTTTCAAAGAGTCCCAATTTTAATAGGCGATTTCACCTTCACTGCTGTCACCTCTGGTCTAATGTTATACATGCACACAAAAAAGCCCAGAAAAAAATACAGAGAGAATATAATATCTCAGAGACATTTAGCCAATCATCAAAAAATAAATTAGATAAGGCAAATAAGATCACAAAGGATGTAGCAATAGGTAATAAATTTGAAGGTTACTACCACGTCTTCGAACCACAATGCTTCAAAAATTCTTTTGGTGAAACTGTGGTAGACTTTTTTGGTTTACCCAATGTGAAGGTTATAGAAGATTCGAAGATGATAGTAAATCAATATTATAGTCACAATCTCGATAATAAAAAACACCAGTCAAAAGAATTTAAGAAGGAGTTAGTGGAACATTTTGGTGTCTTTACAGGCAACAATAATGAACCCTATACAACTGCAAATACTGCCTCTTCTCACAGCCAGGATCATTTAAAATGTGTTCAAGAATTAATACAAGGCCTTCAACCGTT